GCGAGCGGTGGCTCACAAGGTCAGGGGGTGGTTTGTGCCCGGCAGGGAATGAACTGCCCCCCAGCTCTAGCACTGGGGAGAGGAGGGAGGGCATCCACAAACCCTCGGCTCCTTTATGTGTGTCCCGTGGCTGGGGGGGCTCTGACTGTGGACACTGTTGGTGTCCCTGCACCCCAGCGTGCACAGGGCTGGGCATGCATTGGGAATAGCCAGTTCCTGTGACTGTAAGCATGAAGGGTAAACTGAGGCATGGATGGCTTTCCTGTCTCCCTCTGTGTCCAGCCTTCAGATTGGACAGAGCCTTGGTGACATGGTCTGGTGTGAGGTGTCCCTGCCCATGGCAGCGGGTTTTAAGGTACTTTCCAACCCTGACCATTCCATGATTCCATGCTATCAAGACACAGAGGACACCCCAGTGTCTGGCTGTGCACCATCTCCCTGGGATAGGAGCCAGGGACCCCAGCTCAGACGTGACAGTGGTGCTCAGGAGGGGTGCAAGGACCCCAAACCAGTCAGCCACTCATGGTGTGGTGGGGTGTGTGGGGGGATGAGCGTTACCTGGGTTCCCTGCGTGAACAGCAGCCAGATAGAAAAATTAGCAGCACGCTAATCAATGTGGTGCATATTAAGCGGCTCAGGGTTGGGGGGGGGGGGGGAGGGATGCGAAGCAGGGGGGAACCAAGCAGGGTCGGGGATCGATGCAGCTCGTATTAAGTGGATTAAATCCTGGCTGCCGATCTGAGCCCCTGTTGCCAGTGGGAGGTGGGAGCTGAGCAGGAGCTGCGGGGGGTCCTGCTGCTATTGCTCCCCTCGGTGGCAGGGTGCTGAGGGTCCAGGGGGACAGGGCAGCCCTGAGATGCTTGAGGGTGCGTTATCACCTCACTGCATCCTTTCTCTAAGGGATCAGCTGGGCTACGGGGTCCCAGCTCCATGAGAGGCATCTTCTGGGTGAGTGAGAGGTGCTAATGATGTTATTTAATCGCAGCGAGGAGGAGGGGCAGGCACAAGGTCTATTTGTATCCCTTTAATAAAGCATGTTCGACCCGCTGACCTCTAACCTGCCTGACAAGCCCCGTTATCCCCATCCCTTAAGGAATAAAGATGTCGCCATGGCAATGGGATGATGGGAGGGAGCGGGGTCCCTAGACCTGAGTATGGGTATGAGGACATCCCCCTCTGGTCCTGCACCAGCACCCAAGTGGTGGTGTTGGGTGGAAGTAGGATAGTGCTGAGAGTGCTGTGGTTTTTGGGGGTGTGAAGCACTGTGGTTGGGGTCCCTGAGTTCGGCAGAGCAGAGCCGTGGTGTGCATCGGTGGGATATCGATCCCACGGCTTGACAGTTTAATACTTCTGTTTATAGAGGAATATAGTTACATCGATGGCGTTAAATGAGTTACTAATTATATCAATACAAACATGATTAAAAGGGTCCTTGCTCATAGGTCACCGCAAGCAGGAGCCACTGCTCATGTTGCACAACTGCCCCTGGGCAAGGCCTGCTGGACCTCTCCGAGGTGCAGGGGGGGCTCTGGGGTGATGTGTGCCCCTGCAGGGTTTGGGGTGTCTGTCTCAGGGGGTTTCCCTGTCTCTGGGGTTGTGCATGCCACATCTGGGGCTGCGCATGCTGCTTGGGGCTGTGCATGCCCATCCAGGGTTATGCGTGCCTGTCTAGAGTTGTGCATGCATGTGTGGTGTTGTACGTGCCTGTCTGCATTTGTGGTTGTCCATACAGGGTTTTGCACACGTGTATGGCGTTATGAGTACCCAGCTGGGGTTGTGAGTGCTCGTCTGGGGTAGTGTGTGTCCATCCAGGGTTGTGCATGCACATCTGGAGTGCATGCCCATGCAGGCTGTACATGCACATCTGGGATGCATGCCCATGCAGGGTTGTGCATGTACATCTGATGTTGTGGATGCTCATGCAGAGTTGTGTGCACCTATGAAAGGCTTTGTATTCTCACCCAGGCTTTTGCCTGCCCATAGGAGGCTGTGAATAGCCAAATTCCTGTGTACAGATTTGTACCTGTGCAGGTTGTGTATGTATATACAGGGTTGTGCACACTTGTGTGATGTTCTGTGTGCCCATGCGGGGCTGTGCATGCTTGTGCAGGGTTGCACATGCCCATGCAAACTTGTGTGTGATGCTGGATGGTTGTGATGTGCTCCTTAGACGGGCAGTCCCCAAGTCAGGCAGGAGGGGACCACGGTGCTCACCCTGCAGGAAGAGGAACAGGGTGAGTGGCAGGGCCCAGAGCCCTAGGTAAGGGATGGAGTTGGCTTCTTCCAAGGGGTTGGGGCTGTTTGGCCTGATTGCTGTAGCAGACCACTACCCATGCCACCACCCATGTGCCACTTCTGCAAAGTGATGCTTGGATTCCATAGCCAGCCTTAACTGGGACCCACCCCACCCCTCATCAGCAAGAATTCCCCCAAACCACCTCCTCTCCCACCTGAGCATCCCCAAATCCGATGGGATGCCCAGTGCATCCCCAGCACACCAAAGGCTGCTGACTGCTCCCTGATACTCAGCTCTGCTCTCGTCTCCACTTTAAAGCTGACCTTTGCTCCCTGTTTGATGTAATGTGTCTTTGCATCCCTGTACTCTGCAGATAAAAGGTTAGAGGTTAATAAATGGTGTAAAAATAGATTCCAGCACTTGGCAATCACACGTTTTGGGGGTTGGAGGCAATGGCAGCACAGGTGGGATCCTGCCTTTTGTGGTGAGAGGAGAAACACAAGTGACGCTCGGATGTAGGAGGCCACTGGCTGGGTTGAAGTCAGTGGCTTCTCCCTGCTATGGGATGGGTAGAGGTTACTGGTTTGGGATTCTTGCTGCTGCTTTGACAGGCCAGGAGACTGCAGGGTTGGAAACAGGGTTTGTGTGGAACCTTGGGGGTAAGAGCCCTGCTGCAGGCAGGGAGATGCATGCAAAGCCTGGCTCACACAGCCTCCCTGGGACAGAAATCAAAGCAGCCCCCCTGGAGCTCTGCTCCGAGCCTGACCTAGTTACTGTAATCGATGGCTTGAGGAGCTCTGGGGAGAGGGCAGGCGATGAGGAGTGGGCACAGAGCAGAGCAGGGAGCACCACGGTGGAGGGGAGGCACAGGGTGATGGCACTCTGGGGTCAGGGCATCCCGAGAGCACTCTTCTGCAAGGAGGGGACACAGATGAGTAGCACCCAGAGGGTAAGGAAGGGGCAGAGAGGGAGTGACTCAGAGCCAGACCATCAGCACCCATGGGTCTGGTAGGAGACTGGCATTAGACTAGGTTAGGGACAGGCATTTAACACCTATCCCCATGGGTTATATGAGGGTCTGCGTTAGATGTGTCTGTCCAGTGATGGGAACTGTGGGGTGTGTGTAGGACTTGTGTCCCCCCAAGTCCTCCCGGTCCCTGCATTCTCACCTCCCTACATTCCCATGTCCCTGCATCCCCACATCCTTGCATTCACGTGTCCCCACCATGTCTCTGCATCCCCCCCATCCTCAAATCCCCACGTCCTTATAGCCTGACATCCCCACAGCAAAGCTCCCTTTATCTGTCCAGTGAATGATGTGCTGTGTGGAGGGGGAGAGTGCTCCTGCTCTATTGGTTTTTAACGGCCTTTCCCAGCACAATTGTTTTTTAAACGACTCAATTTTGTGCCTGACTTTGTTTTCCAGCTTGCATTTCTTTGTATATGTTTTGGAAATCCATTCTGGACTGCTGAGTTTTGTTTCTTTTCAATGGCTTTAAATTCTTGCCGGGCTTGCTGGGAGGAATTGGTGTCTATAGCGCCTTCGATTGGTGCTAATTTTTCCTTCATGTGCTCTGACTTTTACTGCTGGGCCATCGATCTGGCGGGCTCCAATTTGTCATGGTCACCTAGGCACTGTGCTGGAATCAGGCGAGCCCTGGCTTCTGCACGGAGCCGGCACTTCATGTCCCTGATGTAGGGGCTTCACTTGCCTCTGTGGTGTCATCCATCAGCTCAGCCTTGGGGTCTGTGTCCATGTGTCCGGACCCGTGTCCATCCAATACACATAAGTGTCCTCACAGCTGAATGTGTGCATCTGTGTAACCATGTGCACACTCAGTAGCTTGCACACGCATCAGAGCACCCACGAAGTTGCTGGGACACACGAGCACCAGTATTCGTGCTGCACTCATCACTTCGTGCTCGTGCGCTGGCACACAGTGCACACACATCTGGCTTTGCACACACACACACTGCAGGAAGTCCGTGTGCTTTGTGGGGACGTGTCACTGCCATGCTCACACCCTGGTCCCTGTGCACAGCTGAGGAACATGGGTTTGGGGTCCCCATGCCCAAGCGAGGGAGGAGGATTTGGCATCATGGCCCTTTGAAGAGGCACTTATTGCTGTCCTTGGCCATCGATCAGGCTCCGTCACAGGGTGACACAGCTCAGGCTGTGCTAATCATGTTGTCAATAGCCCTGTCACCCCGGTTCTGTGTGGCAGCCTCTAGTGCTGGCAGCTCCCCCACTGGCACCCATGCCATGGTCCTGCCGGCTCACCCTGGGACGGGACCAGCATCTGTGCAGGTGCACTGTGTCCCTTCAGTGAGGATGCTGATCCCATGTGGGACATGGTGAGCACAAGCACTGGACAGTGCCGGCAGGATGCTGAGCCAGAGCAGGGCTGAGTGTCCACGTCCCAGGGACCTGCCTGGGGAGATCCTGGGATTTGCTGCTGTCCTGCCTACACTGGCATCATCTTCCCGGGGGAAACAGTCATCCCTCCACCTAGGGAAGTGAGGGCAGGGGAAACTGAGGCAGATGCAGTATCTCTGCAGCAAGGGTGCAGAATAGTCAGTGGTGTGTGGGCTGCCCATGCCAGGCACAGGGAGAATACAGTGCTGCCAGCATGCAGGGTGCACTGGGGTATCCTGTCTGTGGCAAGGGATTGCCTCTTATTGCTGGCAGAGGAGGCTGGCGGGGCCAGGGGTGATGCCTGGTCCTGGTACCAGCAGCACTGACTGCTCTCTTTCCTGCCTCCAGCTCTATGAACTGGATGAGGACCCGAAGCGCAAGGAGTTCCTGGATGACCTCTTCAGCTTCATGCAGAAGAGAGGTAAAGGTGGGTGGCAGGGGTGGGCACCACTGGCACCCCTGCCTTGGCTGCCTGGGGGGGGCTCACAGTGCTCTGAGCCACTCCCAGTCTCTGCGAGCCCCTCAGGTAGGTCCTGCAGTGCCTCCCATCCTCATCTACACATGCACATGTGTTAGCTCACACCCAGCAGATTTGACCCCATTTCTATAGGCAGCACCCACTATGGGGTGCCTGCTGGCAGAAGGTTCTCCCTTGGGCCCCAAGGCTGGGGATGGTGGCAATGCCAATGCAGATGCCTGTTAACAATGCCCGTTAGCAATGCCCAACAGGGATACCCCTTGGTGACAACCATTAGCAATGCCCATTGAGGTGGGCTGGAGGTGAGGATGGGGATCTGGACATCACTCATGAATGTCCCCCAAGTCCCCCTGGTCCTAGTGCAGGGCTGTGGGGAGCAAGCGGGAGCATCAGCCCTACTTTGTCCAGCATCCATCAGACACTAATGATGCCCATTAGTAGGACATTTTAATGCTGCCTGCTGGGGATGCCTTGGGCAGTGCCCATTACTGATGCCCACCAGCAGTGCCCAATGAGGATGCTCATCACCAGCATCCTTAGGGATGCCCACAAAGCTGCACTGCAGGAGTGCAGGCAGTGTTCCTGGCAGCGCCAGGCACCTAGGGGTTAAGGGCTCACCAGCCAGCCCTGCCGCATTGGAAATCTTTGCCATCGGCATGGGGGGCCGAGCTGGCTCCTGGGGACTCGATAAATGCTTTAACCTTCGCCCTCCCCATCCGGGCCTGTGACAATTAAAAGTTGCCGAGCGCGGGCGTGTGGCCAGCCGTATTAATTAGAGCCTTTTGCTGGTGTGTGGATTAATGAACATGCCGCTCAATAGCCAGTAAACCCCAGGCAGAGGTTAATGCCGGGCTAATTAACGGGGGAAGGCTTGTGCGGGGGGTGTGTGTGGAAGCAGTGGGGCTGGCTGTGTGTGGGACAAGGGTGAGCTGAAAGGGGCTGTTGTCCCCAGTCAGTGCCCGTGGGGAGGGTGGTGAGGACATCTGCCCGCTTGGGGGGGGGCAGCAGTGGTCAACTTGTGGGTCAAGCAGAGACCCCACAAATTGGTTTCACTCAGGGCTGTGTTGAGGTGGCTGGCACAGCCATGGGGCTTACGCTGGAGCTGGGATTGAGGTGAGGATGGGGATATGGGTACTACCCCATGAGTGCCTCCCAAGTCCCTCTGGCTCTAGTGCAGGGCTTTGGGGAGTAAGTGGGAGCATCGGCACTGCCTTGGCTCCCCCCAGCATCCATCAGAAACAAGATTCATGGGCTGTTCTGTGGCTTCATTATCTCTCTCTCCAGAGCTAATTAACTCCCTCACCACTGGGGCTGGGGCTAATTAAGCAAGCTCACGGTGGTGCGGGGAGGAGGGAGGGAGCCCGATGCTTCCCAGCTCCTCATCCCTGTGTGTCTGGCTGTCCTGCTCCTGTCTCATCTGTCCTGCATCTCCTCCGAGTGGGTGACTTCGCCCCCCAGGAGGGCAGGCAAGTGTGAATTCACGGGTTACAGTGCTGGATTTTACAGCCAGGTAGCAAAGAAAAGGGACAGAGGGCAGTAGGGCAGGGACAGCATCACAGGGGTCATCAGGAGCTGGATGAGAAGCAGCACCCATGATACCAGCGTAAGTGCTTGCAGGAGCACCCAGGGGTGCATGAGAAGGCAGCTGCCGCCCCCCAGACTGCATCCCAAAGGTGGCAGTGGGACAGTGGGGATAATGACCACAGGATGAGCCCTAATGAAAGGGGCCATGTCCCCCTGATGTCTGACAGAGCGGTTTTGGCACTGGTATTTGTCAGAGGGGCTGAAAAATGGGTTAGGGAGAGCCCTGATGGCTCAAGGCAGGGACACCCAGCCCCAGTGGCACAGGGGGGTGATCGTGTCACCCCCGCCAGACATGGGATACAGGCTGTGGAACACCTCATCCCCATGCCCCAACCCCTGTGGCACTCCAGAAATGGCCAACTGGGAAATGGAGGGAATAATTCTGCATTTGCTCAGCAAGGGTCCGCCATCTCCTTGCCAAGCTGAGGGCCCTGCTGATAACACGGAGCCATTAATCAATCAAGGAATTAATTGCAGCACCACAATGGCCGCATCACCTCCCTGAGCTTTTGTGCCGCTCTCCCTGGCCGGGGCTGGGGCCATCACTCTCCAGGGATGCAGACAGGTCCCTTTGTCAGCGGGATGGGCACTGGCAGCCCGCCCCGCACAGCACTGAGATTAATGATGAGCTCCTTTGGATAGCCACCATGCATGGGGATGGGGGAAGAAGGAAGAAATCCATCAATTGGGGTGAGACCGAGCACACTCGTTGGCATGTTGGGGTGATGGGGAGCCCTCAAGTTGAGCCCCCATGAGGTGATGGGGTTGTTGTGAGCAGCCCCCAGGCAGGGTTGGCAATGGACTGCTGGCAGGTATCAAGTCAATATCTCTGCCTCTTTCCCAGGGGGATAAACTCCTCTCCCTCTTCCTGAGCAGCCGAACAACAGAGACACACACACACAAAAAAATAAGTTAAATGAACTCAGTAAAGGAATAAAAAGAGCTCATTTTTCAGGCTTATGTGAAGAAGCCAAGCCAATATTGGGGCCATAAATTAGGGATGCTGGAGGATGGCGGTGAGTGACGGCTTCGTTTGAGGGGCGAAGCACAGCTGTGACAGCCTCCCCTGGCCAAATGGATGGCTTTCCGATATTGCCTGAGCCCCGACACCCCGCAGGAGGAATAAATATGGGGTGGGATGGGACAAGATGGGATGGGATGAGATGCTTATCCTTCCTCTACCCTACTGCAGCCCTCAGCCGCTGCCTGGACCATTGCCCTGAGGTGCAGTGGGGCAGAGTAAGGCTATGGGACTATTTGGGGGTGCTGGGAAAGTGGGGGGTGAAGGAGGTGTAACCAGACCTGGTGGCTACGTGGACCATTCTGGTCCATGCTGGGCTCACAGAGCCCTAGTAACCTCATGTCCCTTTGCCCCATGGCCTCAGGGAGGGGGGTGATGTTGAGGGACCAGGATCACGACCTCTACTGAGGGCATCTGAAGGGGATTTGGGGTCAGGCCTCTTGAGGCAGGGCACAGAAGGCCCTTAAGCAGCCGGGGAGGCTTTTGGGGAAGGATCTGTAGGTGGGGACCTCCTCTGGATTCTTAGGGAACTCCCAAGCTTGGAGAGGATTTTCAAGAGAGAAAACCTTTCTATAGGGAGATTATAGGATGAGTCCCTCCAGAAGGGAGGGGAGAAGTCTCTCTTCAGAGACCCTGTATAAAGTTTGATGGGGTCTCTCTTTATGTGGCTCTGACAGGGATACAGTGAGAGTTCTTCTAGGATGCTCTGAGAGATATTTTGGGGAGATGCTCTATTGGGAGCTCTAAGAGTTGTATAGGATAACTCTCTCTAAGGTGCTCTGGAAGAGGCACTTCACCCATCCCACACTTTCCAGGTGAGAGTGTACCCATCCCCACCAGCAGCTTCATCAATAGGGACCATGTGCCAACATGCTGGGGTCTGCCCTTCTCATGGGCATGGTGCTTCTCTCCATGCTTATGGGTGCTCACCTTCATATGTGTCTCCCCTTGTGGGGCAGCTGATACCCACGCTAGCAGTGGGGACAAAGTGGGGACCACATCCGCGGGGAGTATGGGTCCCCGTAGGCTCCCCCAACACCCTTTTCTCTCTTCTATGTGCGGCTGTAAGGGACGCCTGTGAACCGCATCCCCATCATGGCCAAGCAAGTGCTGGACCTGTACACGCTGTACCAGCTGGTGACGGACAAGGGTGGCCTGGTTGAAGTCATCAACAAGAAGATCTGGCGGGAGATCACCAAGGGCCTCAACCTACCTACCTCCATCACCAGCGCTGCCTTCACTCTCCGCACACAGTGAGCACCCCCCCAGGGGCACCCACTGCCTCCAGTGTCCCAGAGCCCCAAGTGGGCTCCTTCATGGGGTGTCCCAAAAGGGGATAAAGGGCTCTGACCCTTAGCAGGTGCCACCACCACCATGGTCCCTGCTCACCCCAGGGCTGGCTGGGAGGCACATGGTGTGGGTCTCATCCTGGCTCTCTCCTCATGCAGATACATGAAGTACCTGTACCCCTATGAATGTGAGAAGCGAGCGCTCAGCTCTCCAGGTGAGCTCCAAGCTGCCATCGACAGCAACCGTCGGGAGGGACGGAGGCAGGCTTTCGGCACAGCACTCTTCAACTACTCACCAGTCAGCACCCCAACCCTGCTGGGCTCCCCAAAATTGCCTCTGCCAGCTCTTAGCATCTCCACACACAGCTGTGGCCAGCTCGGCCAACTGCATGCAGTTAAGAAAGGTAGGTGAGGAGCACATATTCCCCCTGGCACATATCTCTCTCCAGGGATGGACACAACTCCAGCAGCAGGGATGTTCCCTGTCTGCTCTTGCTGTTATTGCTTGGGGAAAACAGGAACAATTTTGTTCTCTTAGTCCCTTTCTGGGACTGAGAAGGGTTTATATTTCTCCTGTCTTTGGAGAAGGACCAAGCCCAGAGTGGTGGCTTGCTTGCCCCATGCTAAAGGGATGGAGGTGGCACCAGCGGGGACGGTGAATAGGGTGGATGTGGGGGACGCGCTGAGGTCTCTTGGTCATTGCAGAGGATGGCACGTTGGCAGCAGCAGTGCCGGGGCGCATCGCTATCCCGGTGGGACTGGCCGGCCACCATCTCGCAGCAGCCCAAGCAGCAGCTGCCTCACAGGCGGTGGTGCTGGAGCAGCTACGGGAGAAGCTGGAGACGGGGGAGCCTCCGGAGAAGAAGGTGGCCCTGACAGTGGAGGAGCAGCAGCGGCTGGTGCAGCACGCACTGCAGCACAACCTCCTGGCCGTGGCTTCCCAGTTCCCCATGAACATCAAGATCTCCAACCGAGGTAGCGAGGTGCAACACCTCACCTTGTGTCACCGCATCCCCTGGCGCCCCTGCGGGGAGCAGCAGCGGCTGAAGGGGAGCATTGATGCCTGGAGAGGCCGGAGCCCCTCTTCTCTCTCTTGGGCAGGTTCTTGTTTCTGTTTCTCTTAACACTCATATTGGTATTTCCTTTCCCCAGATGACAGACAGGAGACCGCATTGAACCTGTCCACCAATGGCATTAGCAGTATCAACATGTCAATAGAAATAAATGGAGTTGTCTACACAGGTAAATAGAAGGGCCGCTTGGCCTGTGTAATTGCGGCCGGGAAATCCAATAACTTATAGCCACTGCCTGGCCAGCAAGTCCTTCCTTCAATCTGATGTCTTTACTATAAAATCCATTGTAATGAAGTGGTGGGGCCTGGGGAGAGGGGGCAGGAGAAGGAGGGGGTCAGTGAGGATGGAAATTGGCCCCCAGCAGGGGCTAGCAATGGAAGGTAAAACTGGGGAATGGATGGATGGATGGATGGATGGATGGATGGATGGATGGATGGATGGATGGATGGATGGATGGATGAGTGGATGGATGGATGGATGGATGGATGGATGGATGGATGGATGGATGGACGGACGCATGTACTTGGCTGTTAAAGTACAAAAAGGCACCCCCACTGTGGGGGCAGGGCTTGGATTTGGGGTCACCAAATGCTGGTACTCCCAGCGAGTGACTGGGTGCAAGGGTTGGCTGGTTGCAGAGCATGGTGTTGGATGCAGGGGAAGATGTTGGGGTGCTTTGCCAGCACGGAGGCTTTGGGGTAACATTGTGCACCTACCTGGGTAGGCAGTTTATCCCATACCACCCAGCTCCCCGCCTGCCCAGCTGAGGCACCCCCAACTAATATCTATGGCTTTTCCTTCAGGACTTAAATATTTAAGGGGCTGGAAAGGGCAGGGTCTCATCAGCATGTGGGGCTGCCAGCCAAATGGCCCTGGGACACCCCACAGGCTGCCCCATGTGGGTGAGGGTGGCTGGGCTGGGATAGACACCAAAGGTGATGGGGGGAATGGAGACCGCAGGGATGCTGGGGACCAGGAGAGCAGGGCCTCCAACCTGTGGCTTGCCCTAACCCCCTTGCTCTTGCTCTCCAGGCGTCCTGTTTGCCCGCCGGCCCCCAGCACCCCCAGCACCCAGTGGAGGGAGCACTCAGAGCCGGCCGAACCCCATGCCTGCCCCGAACCCACTGCTCCCAGCCCCCTCGCACAACCACACTCCCAGCAGCACCTCACCGTAAGGAGAGATCCCCCCACCCAGCAGGGGGTCCCCAGAGCCTTGGGGGGGCTGAGCGGTGGGACCCAGCTGGGACACCAAGGTGGGATGGGGGACCCAAAGGTGCCTCTTGCTGCAATACTGAGCTGTGTCCGTGCAAGGCTGTGAGCACCCATGTGGTCCCTTTTGTCCCTTATCCCCATGATTGGGGTCCCTCCCACACGCATGCCCTTGGACATACATATCTTCCTCCTTAGTGCTGCCCCCAGGTAACCCACCCCGTACAGCTCCTGCCTGTCCTGCTGCCTGGGGCACCCCTGGGCCCCGCATGCTGCATCCCCTACACACTGCAGCCCCTGTGCCCACATCACTGCATGCAGCTGCAGCTTCTGTACACGTCTTAATGGGTACACTGCATCCTCTGTGTTGCCACACGTAGTGCATCTCTTATATGCTGTCTCTGTTACACACATCTCTATGCACACTGTGTTCCTTATACACACCCTCGATGCATACACTGCATCACCTGCACGTTAAATCCCTTGCACACATTCGCAGTGCCCACACTGCATCCCCTATATGCACCGTTGGTGCCCACATTACCTCATCCATGCACAACCTCAGTGCAAACACTTCATCCCCTATACTCTGCATCCCCTATTCATTGCATCACCTATACACTGCATCCCCTATATACTGCATCCCCTATATACTGCACCCCTTACCCTCTGCAGACCCTCCTGCCCAGCCCTCCTGCACTGCCTGGGCTTGCTGCCCCCATCCTGAGAGACCCCCAGGGCCCTGGGTCCCCACTGGCCACACCAGGGTGGTGGCATCTCAGCCCCCGAAGTCCTCACTCAGCTAAGGGTTCGCCCTGGGGGGCAGATACTGGGGAGACCAGTGGGACTGGTGGGGGTGAGATGTGACAGGTGGAAATGGGGATTATTGGAGTGGGAGTGGGGATTGTGCACTGGAAGGAGCTTGTTGGGGGGAACAGACAGGGCAGGGAGGCCCAGAAGTGTCCCCCACCACCAAAGACCACCCAGTTGCTGGGGTCCCCAGCTGGGGGGCAAGGAGACAGAGGGCACTCCGAACTACCTCGTTGGGGCCAGGCGGGCGCCTCCTCCACCCTCTTGCACCCCTGGGTGCCAAAGCAGGCGAGCGTGGAGCAACGTTCACCTCTACCTCAGCGCGGGGGGCCGGTGCTTGGTGCCGCCGGGCTCCCCACGGCACTCCCACCGCAGCCACGCAACTCTGTGTATCTATTAAAGGAAATGAACTGCTGAACCAAACCAGGGTGAGCATGATGGTGTGTGTGACATGGTGCCACCCGCCAAGGTCCAGAGCACAGGATGGGGACAGTTTGGAGGTGCAGGACACCCACACAGCCCAATTATAGTGCCTGAGGCTTCACAGCCCGCCTCGCCTTTTCCTCCAGCACAGGGTTGCTTCTGTTTCTGGGGGCTTCGAGTTGGGAAAAGGTGCCACCAGAGCCCTCAAGCATCAGCTGGATCAGACTGAGCACCAACCCCACCCATGCTAGCCAGGCTGTGGGGCTTCCTGGCCCCATAAGCTGCCCAGGGGTAGCTCACCCGTGGGAGGGAACACCATTAGGCTGCCTGTGTGAGGCAAGGAGCATGGCTTTGAGGCTGCTCAAGCCATGGCCATGGGTCTGTGAGGTTCGACCAGGTGAGATGCAAGCAGTGCTGGGCCAGCCCGGCACGTGGGTAGTGCCCACAAAGGGCATGGGTGACACAGCTGGAGCTGGAAGACATGGACACACACATGGGTGCTCATGGGTGCATATATGGGTGCACGTGGGAAAGCATGGAGATAAGTCACCACACTCATACGGATTCAGTGGCATACACAGATTCATACTTGCACGTCTGTGTGCAAATGCACAGGCTCACACGTGCACGGTTGTATTTCAAGGGGCACAGGGGGGGGCTCCCATGAGGACTCTACCAATCACAGCCATGAGGACAGGCTCACCCTGGCAGCCATGAAGCCAGGTTCCTATCGCACAAGGGGACAAAACCTCCTGGTTCGCGGGTCACCCCTGGGGAGACCCCCAGACACTCAGGGACACCCCCCAATACCTGTGAGGACACCCCCAGCCCAGACCCCACCGGGTGGCGCGGGCGCTGTCCATGGTGCTGCAGCGGCGCTGCCCGCCCCGGACCTCGGGGTAGCGGCACTTGGGGACACGGAAGGGGACACGGGACCCCTGCAGAGGACCCTATTCCTGCCCCGTTCCGGGTCTTCCAGAGGAGCCCTGTAGGTGGGCATGAAGGTGAGGGGGTCTGTGAACAGCGGAGTGTGTGTGTTTTGAGTGTACACCAGGCTGCAGTGGGGTTCCCCTCTGTGTGTGTGTATTTGTGTGTCTGTGCGTGTCCCAGGCTGGTCCCAGGGTGTTTGCTGTAGGGCTGTGAGACAGCTAAGCTCTGGCACAGAGCTCCTGCAGCCACGGCACAGCCCGGCACAGCACGGGAAGCAGAGCTGGAGCGGAATCGATGCAGCCTTAATTGGGGTCTCATGTCCCCTGTCACTGCCAGGCAGTGCTGGCCACAGCTCATCGAGCGCCAGGGCCCTGGGGAGCCTGGAGGGCACACGAAGGCCCGCATCTCCACTCATTACACAGCTCAGGGGGCGATGTGTATTGCCACTCTCCCTGGGGGGCTAGGAGACACAGCTGCTGTCACCTGAGTAACCAGCCTTGATTGATGCCCGCTTCCCATGTCCCGCAGGGACTGTAATTGAGTGGGAAGCAAGAGACGGAGGATGCAGGGATGATCCAGATTAGCAGGAGGAGTGCTGGATCTGGCTTCAGAGCTGGGTTGGGGGCAGGTGGCTGTGGTATCAGTATCTCTGTAAGGATAGAGACAGGGTTGAATTCCTTCTCCCAGCCCCAAGGAGTGTGGGGCAGATCTGTGGACTGCCCTGGGCTGTGGGCAACCAGTGCTGTGCCTTCAGCCCCATTTCAAGGCTCCTCACAGGCTGGATAGGATTCTAAAGGGTGGATGTCCTCCAATCCCAAATACCCCTAGTGCGAAAGTCCCAGGCAAGGGCTGCCTGAATTTCCTACCTTGAGGAAGTGGGTGATCTGAGATCCTCCATAATGGTCGTCTGTGTATTTGTGGGCACTGTCCATCATGCTGGGCACATCCAGTACCTCTAAACACAGACCAGCACAATGTAAGCAGCTCGCAGCCCTTTGTGCAGCCCGCAGTCACTCCTGCTAATGAAGCTGTTTCTATTTGTCACCTTTGTGGAACAAAGCACAGCTCTTCCTCTCTGAAGATCCCTCTTCAACAGCCCCGCTATCGATTCCTGGGAAAAAAGGCAGAGTGCACAGAGCCTCTGCCTGCTTCTCCTGCCTGAGTGCTCCGCACAGCTCCTCCAGGGAGATATGGGAGGCCATAGGGGTTGCTGGGGCCCTGGGCCACCCCACAGCTCCCTCCTACAACCTGCCAGCCCTGTACAGCTCCCTGTAGGAACACATTTAGGACAAAGCTTTTCCAGGGCACAGTGGGTTTTGTTCTCAGCAAAGGGCACTGAAAGGGTCCCCAGAGTCATCCAGCCTTGCATTGCCAGCCATGCTAACAAAGTATTTGCTGTTAACAGATGGTTTTGACCTAAGAGCCTGGCTTGGGACCTAGGTTGGGCGCTCCCTGTGGCATGGCAAATGCAACACCCAGCTCCATGTTCACAGCCACAAGGAACAGAGACTCAACACTCCAGCCTAGTGCAGTGATAAAGCTACACAGGCAAGCTGAACCCTCGTGTGCAGGGAACATCACTTTGAAGGTGCATTGAAAGCTCACAGACTTCTCCCTCTGCAGTTTGGAAAGGCTCCGGGTTTTCCTCTGTGGTGGATGTTGGTACCATGAATTCGTCCCATGCCTTTGAGAGAGCCCTGTCATTGCAAGTGCTGGTTGCAGGCAGCGGTGGGACTGGGGCTGGCTGCTGCCTTCATTAGCACATCCCTTCTTATGAGCATCCCTGCACTGGTCGATAGGATAAAGGTGAACCTGGGCAGGCTGAGGCCTGGGGGAAAGCCCGCAGCAGACTCCTGGATTTCAAAGGCCCTTGATTCCACTCGTCCATAGATCACTATTATCAATTTCTTTTAATATATCCGAGTGTCTCTTTCCTGGAGGACCACTCTGGAATGAAGCAGACATTGATCACCAGCGGCCACTGCGCCTCCCTCTGCAGCGCAAATCACCATCGACCAACTGTAGCCACCCCTCCTTCATACCGAGAGGGGCCTCACGCCCTTCCCCTTCCCTTCCCTTCCCTTCCCTTCCCTTCCCTCCTTCCCCTTCCCTTCCCTCCTTCCCTTCCCTTCCCTTCCCTTCCCTTCCCTTCCCTTCCCTTCCCTTCCCTTCCCTTCCCTTCCCTTCCCTTCCCTTCCCTCCTTCCCATTCCCTTCCCTTCCCTTCCCTTCCCTCCTTCCCCTTCCCTTCACTTCCCTCCTTCCCCTTCCCTTCCCTTCCCTTCCCTTCCCTTCCCTCCTTCCCTTCCCTTCACTTCCCTCCTTCCCCTTCCCTTCCCTTCCCTTCCCTTCCCTTCCCTCCCTCCTTCCCCTTCCCTTCCCTTCCTTTCCCTTCCCTTCCCTTCCCTTCCCTTCCCTCCTTCCCCTTCCCTTCCCTTCACTGCCCCCCTTCCCCTTCCCTTCCCTTCACTTCCCTCCTTCCCCTTCCCTTCCCTTCCCTTCCCTTCCCTTCCCTCCTTCCCCTTCCCTTCCCTTCCCTTCCCTTCACTTCCCTCCTTCCCCTTCCCTTCCCTTCCCTTCACTTCCCTCCTTCCCCTTCCCTTCCCTTCCCTTCCCTTCCCTTCCCTCCTTCCCCTTCCCTTCCCTTCCCTTCCCTTCCCTTCCCTTCCCTTCCCTTCCCTCCTTCCCCTTCCCTTCCCTTCCCTTCCCTTCCCTTCCCTTCCCTTCCCTTCCCTTCCCTTCCCTCCTTCCCCTTCCCTTCCTTTCCCTTCCCTTCCCTTCCCTTCCCTTCCCGTCCCTTCCCTTCCCTTCCCTTCCCTTCCCTTCCCTTCCCTTCCCTTCCCTTCCCTTCCCTTCCCTTCCCTTCCCTTCCCTTCCCTTCCCTTCCCTTCCCTCCTTCCCCTTCCCTTCCCTTCCCTTCCCTCCTTCCCCTTCCCTTCCCTTCCCTTCCCTTCCCTTCCCTTCCCTTCCCTTCCCTTCCCTTCCCTTCCCTTCCCTTCCCTTCCCTTCCCTTCCCTTCCCTTCCCTTCCCTTCCCTTCCCTTCCCTTCCCTTCCCTTCCCTTCCCTTCCCTTCCCTTCCCTCCCCTCCTCTTCCTTTCCCCTCCCTTCCCCTCTCCTTGGCAACGGCGGCCCTAGCAACGCACCGCCGCGCCATGGTGCGGAGCGGAAGCGACGCGCGAGTGCTTCCGGCCGACGGCAAGATGGCGGCGGGGGCGGTGGAGCTGCGGCGGCTGCAGTGGCGCTTGGAGGAGGTGGAGCAGCGCATCGGTGTCGGCGATGGGGCTTCCGGAACGGGCAAGGTGCCGGGGGTGGGGTGGGGGGGCTCCGGTTGTTATGGGGATGGCTCTGTCTGCCCTGGGGGCCGGCCTGGCTACCCGCCGGGCTGTGACAGGCCCGTCCCCTTGCGGTGCCGCTGCAGGTGGTGGACGAGCTGGTGAAGGTGCAGGTGGCGCTGAACAATATCGCCAGCAAGAGGGAGAGGATCAAAATCCTGTTTAAGAAAAGTGAGTGGAGTTGGACGGGGGTATCGGAGAGGGGCGGAGGAGCTCGAAACCCCTGTGTGGCGTTTTGCTCCTCTAAACAAAAATGGCTTCCCGTGCGAGCGCCTTTGGCTCGGGGCTCTTGTTTCACATATTTGGTGGAGAAATAAGGGTCTTTCTGCTTGGGATTCTCCAGCGTCGCTGTTGGGTGTGGGAAGTCATAGAAGCGTGGATTGGAAAGGACCTTAAGATCATCCAGTTCCAACCCCCCTGCCATGGGCAGGGACACCTCACACTAGACCACATCACCCAAGGCGCTGTCCGGCCTCGCACTGAACACCGCCAGGTGATGGGGCATTTGCCACTTCTTCGGGCAGCCTGGTCCAGTGCCTCACCACCCTCACAGTAAAGAACTTCTTCCTTAGATCTAACCTGAACTTCTCCTCTTTCAGTTTAAAATCGTTCCCCCTTGTCCTATCACTACAGTCCCTGATGAACAGTCCTTCTCTGGCGTCCCTGTAGGCTCCACAACCTGTTATTTGCATGATATCTGCCTGTATGGGTGCAGTGATGTGCACCACCTGAAGTACAGCCTTTGAGGGTTATTGGA